GATTCAGTTTCAAATCATGAAATACAAGTTCAATTTGTACATTACAAATAAAAAATTCTGGAATTCAAATTCAATTTCTGTTGGCACTGAAATGGCTGCATACTGAACAAGGACTCAGAGATATACAGTTGAAGTCAGAAGTTTACATATACCTTAGCGAAATACATTTAAACTCAGTTTTTCACAATTCCTGACATTGAACCACCTCTGTTACACAAGGTAATTTGCTGTTGTTGTGGGATTGATTTGCACTTTTTTCACCAAAGTACGTTCATCTCTAGGAGACAGAACGAGTCTCCTTCCTGAGCGGTATGACGGCTGCGTGGTCCCATGGTGTTTATATTTGCGTACTATTGTTTGTACAGATGAACGTGGTACCTTCAGGCGTTTAGAAATTGCTCCCAAGGATGAACCAGACTTGTGGAGGTCTACAATTCTTTTTCTGAGGTTTTGGCAGATTTCTTTTGATTTTCCCATGATGTCAAGCAAAGAGGCACTGAGTTTGAAGGTAGGCCTTGAAATACATCCACAGGTACACCTCCAATTGCCTCAAATTATGTCAATTAGCCTATCAGAAGCTTCTAAAGTCATGACATAGTTTTCTGGAATTTTCCAAGCTGTTTAAAGGCACAGTCACCATAGTGTATGTAAACTTCTGACCCCCTGGAATTGTGATACAGTGAATTATAAGTGAAATAATCTGTCTGTAAACAATTGTTGGAAAAATTACTTGTGTCATGCACAAAGTAGATGTCCTAACCGACTTGCCAAAACTATAGTTTGTTAACAAGCATTTGTGGAGTGGTTGAAAAACGAGTTTTAATGACTCCAACCTAAGTGTATGTAAACTTCCGACTTCAACTGTAGCTAACGTTAGCTAGCTATTTTAACTTAAACCTCCTGAGACCCAGCAATACATTTATGTCCTCTCTAATGCACATTCGTTTTTGGTCCATATCTCTTAGGCCATACATGTCACTGTGTTAGGTCCTGTTGTACCGTTGAGAGGACATTCTTTGCTTTTCAATTATATCACGTGTGGGGGTGTCACATTGATAATTGTTTCTTTCTGGTTCATCAAAATGGCTAGCCGCTAGTGCCATCACAGTTACCATCACAATTATCAAATTGTATGGTAAGTGTGTGTAATTGTGTAATTATCTTTTTTGTGAGTTTGATAGTCAAATTGTTTCTAATAGATAAATGTCTCTTGGTGAGTTTTCAGAGCAGCGTAATATATTTTTTCCTCACATTAAATAAGAGCATTAATACATTTCCTCTGTAGTAGGATGTGCTATGTTTTTTACCTACTGTCCCCATTTACTGTAAAGTTGTTATATTTTTCATATGTACCATCAACTGAGTCCTAATGGCCACTACAGTGCAACTTCAATAAAATATACATACAAATATTTTTTCAAATGTTTTTCTTTGTAACATGTTTTTGTTTTTCACCCCAAAACTTACTGTATGTGATGCAAAAATAATAATAATTCCCAAATCGTTTTTCTGCCGGGTCTCAGGAGGTTAAACAAGTGGATTTAACATTATTTTTCAATGACTACCTCATCTCTGTACCCCACACATACAATTATCTGTAAGGTCCCTCAGTCGAGCAGTGAATTTCAAACAGATTCAACCACAAAGACCAGCGAGGTTTTCCAATGCCTCGCAAAGAAGGTCACCTATTGGTAGATGGGTAAAAATAAAATATGAGCATGGTGAAGTTATTCATTAAACTTTGGATGGTGTGTCAGTACACCCAGTCACTACAAAGATACAGGCATCCTTCCTAACTCAGTTGCCAACAAAGGAAGGAAACCGCTCAGGGATTTCACCATGAGGCCAATGGTGATTTTACAGTTACAGTTTAATGCCTGTGATAGGAGAAAACTGAGGATGGATCAACAACATTGTAGTTACTCCACAATACTAACCTAAATGACAAAAAATATTCCAGAACATGCATCCTGTTTGCAATAAGGCACTAAAGTTAACAATCCAACACAACACATCACTGGGTACCACTCTTCATATTTCCAAGCATGGTGGTGGCTGCGTTATGGTATGCTTGTCATCGGCAAGTACTAGGGAGGTTTTTGTAGGATAAAAAAAAACACAATAGAGCTAAGCACAGGCAAAATCCTAGAGGAAAACCTGCTTCAGTCTGCTTTCCAACAGACACTGGGAGACAAATTCACCTTTCAGCAGGACAATAACCTAAAACACAAGGCCAGATATACACTGGAGTTGCTTACCAAGATGACATAACTGTGGGGGAACACCTATAAGTTCTTCGAAGAACTCTTTGAGTGTTAGTGCAAGAAAGACAAGTCTTTGTACATACGTCCCTATATTAACCAGCATTTAGTTTTGTGGAGAAATGGAGCATACGATTAGCAGCGTGCATTCGCCATTCATTTAAGGAGTTGGGTTACACTTTAAGATTGTGTCATTTAATCAAATGGCGCACTTTAACAGTTGTGTTTCTTTACCAGCTTTTCCCGCTAGTCTGGTTTCAAGGGCTTGTGTCGTCATCCACTCTGTTATCCAATATCCATGCTGTTTTCCAAAGCTTCAAGAAAATATGGTGTTAATTTGAAGCTCTCTGCAATCCTGTCTATCACAAGCCTTTTTGTTATGGTGTTTTTCTCCCTAAAATGACTCTGCTAATATTTCCGTTAACGACATTTTACAAATGTCCTGCTTTCAATTGTATGTTTGCCTCTCGCTGGATCGTTGCTACATGACCATCAACATCATGGGAGTACGCTTCTGTACTATCGCCACGCCAATGCTGTCTAAGAAGGAACTGCAGAGGATGGATCAGTTGGTGCGGGGGAAGAATTGGAGATGATGTGACCACCGTAGCCGGAGGCCTCAAGGTGATGTAGTTCATTAGGCATGGATTCATTAGGCTCCAAACTGAAGAAAACAGATTGTAATATGGATCGACTACCTGGACATAAGAAATACCAATTTTTGTTTCTTTTTTTGCATGCCCTATTGAAACGAAGGTCAACCTTCGCCCAAGTCTGAGGTCCTGAGCGCTCTGGAGCAGGTTTTCATCAAGGATCTCTCTGTCCTTTGCGCCGTTCATCTTTCCCTCGATCCTAACTAGTCTCCCAGTCCCTGCTGCTGAAAAACATCCCCATAGCATGATGCTGCCACCACCATGCTTCACCGTAGGGATGGTGCCAGGTTTCCTCCAGATGTGACGCTTGGCATTCAGGCCAAAGAGTTCAATCTTGTTTCTCATGGTCTGAGAGTCCTTTAGGTGCCTTTTGGCAAACTCCAAGCGGGCTGTCACGTGCCTTTTACTGAAGAGTGGCTTCCGCCCGCCTGATTGGTGGAGTGCTGCAGAGAAGGTTGTCCTTCTGGAAGGTTCTCCCATCTCCACAGAGGAACTCTGGAGCTCTGTCAGAGTGACCATCGGGTTCTGACCAAGGCCCTTCTCCCCCGATTGCTCAGTTTGGCTGGGCGGCCAGGTCTAGGAAGAGTCTTGGTGGTTCCAAACTTCTTCCATTTAAGAATGATGGCGGCCACTATGTTCTTGGGGACCTTCAATGCTGCAGACATTTTTTGGTACCCTTCTCCAAATCTGTGCCTCGACACAATCCTGTCTCGGATTTCTACGGACAATTCCTTTGACCTCATGGCTTGGTTTTTGCTCTGACGTGCACTGTCAACGGTGGGACCTTATATAGACAGGTGTGTGCCTTTCCAAATCTTGTCCAATCAATTGAATTTACCACAGGTGGACTCCAATCAAGTTGTAGAACATCTCAAGGATCATCAATGGAAACAGGATGCACATGAGCTCAATTTCGAGTCTCATAGCAAAGGGTCTGAATACTTATGTAAATAAGTTGTTTTTAAAATGTTTTCGCTTTGTCATTATGGGGTATTGTGTGTAGATTGATAAGGAAAAAATATAATTTCATCAATTTTAGAATAAGGCTGTAATGTAACAAAATGTGGAAAAAATCAAGGGGTCTGAATACTTTCCGAATGCACTGAACAATGTTATGAAAAGATAAGCCGCTCTGGATAAGAGCGTCTGCTAAATGACTAAAATGTTAATGTAAATGTAATAAGGACAGCAGAATGTATGTTTAGAAATGAGTTATCTTCTCAATGTTCAATTAGAATGGTATTTCTATCAATGGGCATTTTTATTAATGGATCTTGTGTTATATATTCTTCTACAGTGCATTTTGTGTATTAGATAATGTAAAGATTAGGTGCAGGTGTCTAAGGCACAGTAGGTGGCAGTGTAGTTAAGCAATGGACCCTGTGCGGGGCTGTTGTTGCCAGGCCAAATAGGCGATACAATAAAATCCTAGATAAGATTTATAGATAATGAGTCCAAAACAAAACAGTTAATTACATTCATCCTAAAATTAGACATTTTAATAATTAATGCAAAAAAACTGAATGGAAAGGCATTCCCATGAATTACACGACTCCAATAAACATTGAGTTAGTCATTTGATAGTACATGTCAGAAAATACCCATAATGATCCATGCATGTTTTACATGTTTCATTATGCTTTTAATGATCCATGCATGTTTTACAGTTGCGAAACCAAAGATGCCCTTTGAATTTTTTTTTTCATAGGCCATCTTTAACATCACTTGCACATCACTGCAAAATCTTTCCAATCCCTCCCAGAAATGGTTAACTGTCTGTGAGCATATGATACAGCAGTCAGCAGCCAGCCAAACAATATTGTGCCATTTCTCCATAGCATACTACCTCTGTTAGGCTACTACCCATGCATAGTCGGCTATTGCATACAGTGACTGTCTCTGGGGAATATATTTTTAATCTCCTAGATGTAATGAATGAGAAAGACCCCCAGACGGAGCAGCTCTCTGGGTGTGTAGGTGGTGTGTGTGTGTGTGTGTAATGGTGGGGGGTTGGAGGTGACCCTATGGATAAAAACCTCGTGATGTATCTCCCTCTCTCATTCTCTGTCACACACACACTTTCTGCCTCACACAAACACAGAGACACACACAGGAGGCGGTTCTCTCCAGTCCCTCTCCATCAGAAACAACTGACAGCCAAGCAGGCTAGTTGCATCCTCTGGTAGCTATAGCAGCAGCGCAGGCAGCTACTAGCCTCCTCTACTGTCTGCTGCATCTGTCAGCTGGCTGCCCGGTACGTGGAGCCTTTTGTGTCTCCCGAGAGTCCCAAATCCCATTGTGCTCTCTATTGCGGAGGCTAAAGGAAACAACCAACAGTCACATCAATGGACATGATGGGGAAGAAAGAACGCAGGGGCTGGGACTTCAAAGGCTTGCTGAAGAGGAACTGGCTGCTTATTGCGACCATTGTGTCGGTGGTGTTAGGTAAGTGAAAGCGAAGCCCCCATATTGTCTGCGCTCTGCTTGGCGTGAAGAAGCCTTGCTTGATGTCACACTTCCGCGAGGCTGCCCGTCTGTCTCCCCTCACTCCTTGCTCTGTCGGTGGTGGTGCATCCTACCCATTTCCACTTCCCTATCTCCTTTTTTTCTGCAATTTTTTTTTTATCCTATTTTGCCACATTTGTGATTGCTTTCTCTCCTGATGTATTCCCCTGCTGCAGTCCAGCAGCCTCTCTTGGTCACATAAGGATGCGTAGGGCTGGGGTCTGGTTGATGAGAATAGCAATGTGCATGCATGTGTGTGTTGTGTGCATAATGACGCCTTGTGCATGCTGCATACCAACCTGGTCTCAGAGCATTTCGTATTATTCTGTACGTAAATCCGAGGCTCTCCATTTAGTATGATATGTTGCGTTTTGTATGTATTAATTTGTGGATGTCCATCACCCATGTTGTATGATATGTTACGAATTTTAAATCGTATTATATGTTACGAATTTACTAAATGTAGAATATGTTACGAATTTCCAAAATGTTTAATATGTTACGAATTTCCAAAACGTACAATATGTTAAGATTTTGCAAAACATATGAATAGTTTACGAATTCTGGCTAGGTGGCTAACATTAGCTAGGCTAGGGATTAAGGTTAGGGTTAAGTTGTGTGGTCCTCTGTAGCTCAACTGGTAGAGCACGGCGCTTGTAACGCCAAGGTAGTGGGTTCGATCCCCGGGACCACCCACACACAAAAATGTATGCACGCATGACTGTAAGTCGCTTTGGATAAAAGCGTCTGCTAAATGGCATATTATATTATATTATATATTATTAAGTTTAGGAGTTAGGTTAAAGGGTTAAGGTTGGGGCAAGAGTTAGCTAAAAGGGTTAGGGGAAAGGTTAGTTAACATGCTAAGTAGTTTCAAAGTAGCTAAAAGGTAGTAAGTAGTTGAAAAGTTGCAAATTAGCTAAAATGCTAAAGTTGTCCATGATGAGATTCGAACTCACAACCTTTGGGTTGCTAGAGGTTTGCGTTTTACGACCAACCACCCTACTTTCGTTTTTGCCTTAAGTAACCATCTGTCTTATGTAAGCAAACCAAACGTAACATATACTAATTTGGGTGTCCCGAACTTACGTTTACTATGTTACCTCTAGTCTATGAGACCAGGCTGTGCATGCATCTGTATGTGTGCTTATGCTGTGAGGATGTTCGAAGATGGATGCAAACAGTGTGTGTGTGTGTGACTGTGGCTGTTCATAATGTGTGTATCTGTGTGTCATTATAGTGTGTGACTGTTCATAATTGTGCACGTGTGTGACTGATCATTATGCATGTGCAGTTTCTGCTGCTGCTGCTACCGCCGTTCGTTACCCGCTCTCCTACAGAGACAGGGTTCCCTGTGCTGTGCTTTGCTGCCTGCCAGAGCCTGTCTCACTGCCCCAGTCAAACGTGACTAGACTGAAGCAACACACTCCACTGGCTCCTTCAGTCCAGTCAGTCGGTACAGCTGTTCTGCATGCGAGGTCCTGTCAATGTGATTCACTAATAGTGTGATTCAGGGGCCATATATGACTCTGATATGGCCTAGCCCACCCCAGTATTTCTTGTGGCTTATGACATTTATTTAATAGATATAAAATACATAAGGGATAATCAACTTGGGGCTGTGGAGCCCTGTGGAAATAACCTACGACACAGTCTAGCCATGGCATAAACTACAATATGCTCCTTTATTGACATATTCAAAGTGCTAAAATGCAACGGTGAGTTCACAGCAAAGGCTAATGGTGGTGGTGGACAATTCATCTAAAAATGCAGTGTTAATTATGGAACATATTACTTTATTATGCAGAGAAGGCTATTATTTATTTAGATTTATTCACAATTTCACACCCCCTTCTGAAGCTGCCGGCCACCCCTTGTTTTTAGAAAGAATTACCCACCGATTTGGATGGCCCGTCACCGAATTGTCCTACCCTTTAACCATTTTTGGTGCTTGCTTGGCTTCTTAATGGTTGGACGTTTATCATTTTATCGACTAAATGGACTTTGGCTCAGTGGCAGTTTTGTGTCTAATGCGTTTTAAAGGCTTTCAACCAAGTAAATGATAAATGCTGACTTTGAAGGGTCCTCCACAAGGATTACACCATCTCTGCTTAAGCAACTAGTTTTAGAATGTCAACATAAACCTGTGTTGGTCCAAATGCACATGGCAAGATGGATAATCCATTCCTATTTCTTATGTTTTAAGAGTTGCAGTGGAGAGGAGTGGGGGTTAAAAGAGCCAATTGGAAGCTGGGGACATGGCATATGAGGGTGCAGTGAGATACCTGATGGGTTGGACAATACATTTCTCATCAATCATCTTGAAAAAAATGTATACTTAACTGGAAATCAACCAATCCTCCATCGTTAACACAATGGAAAGGTCAAATGCTTTATTATCTGAATGTTGAAAGTGCGTGGGTGACAGAGAGAAACAAAATGGTGCAGTTTGAGTCCATATGGCGGAGTGATGCGTGCGCTGGAGATGAGGGTGTGAGCAGGTGGGTCTGGGCAGGGGTGATGTTGTGGATGTTTGTGTGCGTCTGTATATTGTTGTTTGTATAATATATGTTTTGTATAGTAAAAAAAAAATCTTAAGTAAAATCTTTCAAAAATATAAATAAGGAAGCTGTGGACTTTTATGTGGTCATAGTAGTGACCCATTTCAATTCTGGCCTAAGTTTGAGTGTTCTGATTGAGCCTTGAGAAATGGGAGAATATGCCTTTAATTAACACCCCTAATTAAGTGTCATGGAATCTTGAGTGACAACAATAGAAGTCAGGACCTCGTTTGGATTACATGCTGAGATGAGCACTCTGTCAGTTTGTAATTTGGTTGGATGCCATGTAACGTCTTAAAAAGAAAAGTAGTTCCGTCATTGGATCACAAATAAAAGTTCACTACTACACCACGTGGCCACTTTTGCTGACCACTACTCTTTACTAGCAAGGCAGCCCCTTTCATGCCAGTTCTGTACTTAAGTAATTACATGGGCAGTATTGTTGGACGTCATCATGTATGTTTCATTTATAACCATAAGTAATTTAGCTTTGCCAATAACTGTCCTGTTGTGGCAGTACGAAAGTGTATGCACTCACTACTGTAAGTCGATCTGGATAAGAGCGTCTGCTAAATGACTAAAATGTAAATGTAAATGCTGCAAGATTTTAATCTCCACATGGCCTGTATTCTCAGAGTAGGAGTGCTGATCTAGGATCAGGTCCCCCCATCCAAATAATCATATTCATTAGGATCTAAAAGACAAAACTGATCCTAGCACACATACTCTAAGACGCTTTGTGAATACCGTCCCAGATCTCAAGAGATGTGCTGACTCATCTTTTGAATTAAACCATGAAAACTGATCAGAAAACGGAATGGAGAGTGCGATTCATCATTTTTGAAAGAGGCACATTATATACATTACCAGATATTTACATAGAATTTGCATGGCAAAATGCTAATTACAACATAATAACTTATGAATCACTTGTTTGTTTAATTAGAATTAATCTAGGCTTGTGCAATGTCTATTTGGGCGTATTTGCTTCTCAGCATAACAACATGACCCATCCAGTAGCCCCCACAACAGTTTCTAACCTTACCACCACCACCATAAACACCGAACCACTACTAAACAGTATATCAATTATGAGAGGGTTTATTTTTCATTAGGAATGATGTAACCTGTTCAGTTACGATTCGCTGTGTCATCACCTTGCACAACCTTTCACAAGGTTATTTTATGGTGGCCTATAATGGTTGAGAACACACTCAGGGTGGGGGGGATTTGAGAAACTCACTGTATGTGGCGTTTATGGGCGAAAACCCCCACAGCGATGCGCAATGAGCCTTATTAACGCCAAGACAGGCTGCCCGCTTGGCCAATAAACTGATGCTCTCCAAGGCCGTTGTTGCTGCGCAGGTCAGCAATAGCAATGCTACTCTAGCAGCTTACGGCTAAAGGAAGCGTTTTCCTCAATGTCACAACCTTGAGCCAGCGTCACGAAACCCAGAGCAAGACAAAAGTTATGCAACACCTTGCCCATAAACTAAAAATGACAAAGTCACATGGGCATAATATTGTGGTAGCTTACTTGGCAGCTCTGAAATTATGATGTTTCCATTTTTATTTGACGTGGCATGCAGGTCAAATATCAATATTGTTCCTTTTGTCATCATTATCTCTACCTCTCTCTGTTCTCCCACTTTACATTTCCACAGTAAAAATGCTTCATCCTCAGTGAGATGTATCGAACTAGCCTCGTATTGAACTAACCTGTTTGAACCAACCATTTGAATTGGCTGTCTTGTTTATCTCTTTCTTTCTCTCTCCTTCCTTCTCTCTCTTCTTCCTTCCATCTCTCCCTCAGGGATAGGTCTTGGGGTGGTGGTCAGGGAATATGCCTCCCTCTCCCACCTCCATAAGCAGTATTTTGGCTTCCCGGGTGAGATCCTGATGCGGATGCTCAAGCTGGTCATCCTACCCCTCATCATCTCCAGCATGATAACAGGTAACTTGGGATGAATTGCATCTCAACAGCTCTATCTCAGTCACTCAGCGCTATGTTTAATGAAGAGGGCCATCAGAGAAGGTTAAGATATCTTAAGATATCTTACTTAGGTATTAATCCTGGAGGAACTTGGGCTGCTTTCTTTGCCTCAGGCCATGGCAAGCGGATCTTCTTGAGTTCTGCCTTTAGACACCTGCGACCGGTCACTGTTGCGCCAGATATCTTAGTCAAGGACAACTGAAACAGTCCTAGTCATTGAGAGGACTTGTTGACAGACATGCCTCCTTTGGGTGCACAACAGGTTCATTGTCTCTCTGCCTTGTTTGTGGTCACAGGAGTCGCCGCCCTGGATTCGGAAGTTTCTGGAAAGATAGGTCTGAGGGCTGTGGTATATTACTTCTCCACCACCATCATCGCAGTCATTCTGGGTGAGTTAACATAATGACTGGCTAGGTCTCGTTCTCTTTCAGCTGCTCCCCATCTGTTATGAAGTATGATGCCCTGAACAAAATGTGCAAAGTGTCAGTGCGTCATGCTTCAGATTAAGTGAATGGCAGACTAGCTATGTAACATGGTATTTACACGTCACCATTGAAAGCTTAATATTGACTGATGGTTTACGTGTTTTCCAGGTATTGTGTTGGTGATGGCCATCAAACCTGGTGTCTCTCAGGAGGCAGAACATATCGACAGGACAGGGACCACACCAAACGTCACCACCGTCGACACTCTACTGGATCTTGTCAGGTGACAGCTACGCTTCATACCATCATATACAATGCATTTGGAAAGTATTCAGACCACTTGACTTTTTCCACATTTTGTTACGTTACAGCCTTATTCTAAAATGGATTAAATAGTTTTTTCCCCCCTCATCAGTCTACACACAATACCCCATAATGACAAAGCAAAAACATGTTTTTAGATTTTCTTTGCAGATGTATTAAAAATAAAAACAGAAAATCATATTTACATAAGTATTCAGACCCTTTACTCAGTACTTTGTTGAAGCAAACTCTCATGGTCTGAGAGTCCTTTAGGTGCCTTTTGGCAAACTCCAAGCAGGCTGTTATATGCCTTTTACTGAGGAATGTGGTCCGATCACTCTACCATAAAGGTGTGTTTGGTGGAGTGCTGCAGAGATGGTTATCCTTCTGGAAGGTTCTCCCATCTCCACAGATGAAATCTGGAGCTCTGTCAGAGTGACCATCGGGTTCTTGGTCACCACCCCGGACAATTCCTTCGACCTCATGGCTTGGTTTTTGCTCTGACATGCACTGTCAACTGTGGGACCTTATATAGACAGGTGTGTGCCTGTCCAAATCATGTCCAATCAATTGAATTTACCACAAGTGGACTCCAATCAAGTTGTAGAAACATCAAGGATGATCAATGGAAACAGGATGCACCTGAGCTCAATTTCGAGTCTCATAGCAAAGGGTCTGAATACTTATGTAAATAAAGTATTTCTGTTTTTTATTTTTAATAAATTAGCAACTATTTCTAAAAACCTGTTTTCGCTTTGTCATTATGGGGTATTGTGTGTAGATTGATGAGGGGATTTTTTAAAATACATTTTAGAATAAGGCTGTAATGTAACAAAATGTGGAAAAAGGGAAGAGGTCTGAATACTTTTCGAATGCACTGTAGAAGAACAGTTGTTGTTTTTTACCCTATTTGTCTCCCCAATTTCGTGATATCCAATTGTGATCCAATTACGAGCTTGTCTCATCGCTGCAACACCCCAACGGGCTCGGGAGAGGCGAAGGTCGAATCATGCGTCCTCCGAAACATGACCCGCCAAATGGCGCTTCTTAACACCTGCCCGCTTAACCCGGAAGCCAGCCGCACCAATGTGTCAGAGGAAACGCTGTTCAACTGACGACCGAAGTCAGCCTGCAGGCGCCCGGCCCACCACAAGGAGTCGCTAGTGCGCGATGAGCCAAGTAAAGCCCCCCGGCCAAACCCTCCCCTAACCCGGACGACGCTGGGCCAATTGTGCGCCGCCCTATGGGACTCCCGGTCACGGCCGGTTGTGACACAGCCTGTGAACGAACCCGGGTCTGTAGTGATGCCTCAAGCACTGCGATGCAGTGCCTTAGACCGCTGCGCCACTCGGGAGGCCCTAGAATAATATAATTCTCCATCAGTCAGAAATGCGGTGTGTATAACATTTCCACATTTGTCTCACACTGTTGCCATCTCAACATGTCTTATTCCATCCACAGAAACATGTTTCCTGAAAACCTACTGCAAGCTTGTTTCCAACAGGTAAGCGTCATTGTCTGATTTGTACATTAAAGCTTTCAGTCACTAGCCTTGTACCAGATCTGTTTGTGCTGTCTTTCAACTCTTATGAGAATTGGCAAGACAGCACAAACACATCTGGGGCCAGGCTATACAATCACTGCACTTTGAGGAGAAAACATGATCCTACGTTAAAATGTAACCATGTCAAATGTAACTATTTCAATTCAACCATGTCATTCCAGTACAAGACAAAGCGCAAAGAGCTGGAACCACCTAAAGTGAAGGGGAACACTACAACGTTCCCTCCTCTCTCTACCACTGTCATGGCAACCATTTTCCCCCCAGAGGTAGGTGTCGCTGTTTACGTGTGTTTATCCGCCTGTGTGTCAAAAGCTGTGATTTGATAGGATCGAAGCTGCTAAGCCTGGTTTACTTTTCACACCGAATTAGAGTTAATCAGATGTGGTTTACTTTTTATACCTGATTAGTTAATCAGATGTGGTTTACTTTTTATACCTGATTAGTTAATCAGATGTAGTTTACTTTTTATACCCTCTAATCAGATTACTATCTGTCCAATCAAAATCTTTGTGGGTTGAAAATGTGCCCTATTTGTCTTTCTTCAACGTAGCCTTTGTGAGTCTACACCTGACCACCCACATTGAATGTGATGGATATGACCACAGATCAACTTACATTATAATTCCACTGTGTAGACAGGGGTCAATATGTTGTGATCTGAGGGAAAAAGCTCAAGACATGGATATCAGCCCACTGTAACACAATACTTCACAAGTGGATCTTTTGACCAAAATCTATTTCTTACTTAAACTATTTGCTTCCTTATTTTCCCCCTCTGCAGAACATCACCAAGGACTATAAGATAGTCGGTTCATATTCTGATGGGATCAACGTGCTGGGCCTCATCGTGTTCTGTGTGGCGTTCGGCCTTGTCATCGGCAAGATGGGCGAAAGGGGGCGTATCCTGCTGGAGTTCTTTGACGCTTTAAACGAGGCCACCATGAGGCTAGTCCAGATTATCATGTGGTACGTAACAGCCTGTTACATGACATACATCTCACTTACAGTACACTAAAACTGTTTAGGTGAATTCACCCGGTAGCTGTTTTCTATGCTATTATAGATGTTATGCTGCTATTCCTGTGGTGATGATGATGACAGTGATGATGATGACCATAACAACAATGGCATTAACAACACTACACGCTTCGAAAAAAAGGTGCCATCTAGAACCTAAAAGGGTTCTTCGGCTGTCCTCATAGGAGAACCCTTTGAAGAACCCTTTTTTGTTCCAAGTAGAACCGTTTTGGGTTCCATATAGAACCCGTTCCACAAAGTGTTCTACATGGAACCCAAAATGGTTCTACGTGGAACTAAAAAGGGTTCTCCTATGGGGACAGTCAACCCCTTTCGGAAACCTTTTTTCTAAGAGTGTATTGTTGCAATTACAGCTACATGCCAGTGGGGATACTCTTCCTGATCGCTGCCAAGATCATCGAGGTAGAAGACTGGGAGATCTTCAGAAAGATGGGCCTGTACATGGTGACAGTGCTGAGTGGGTGAGTCTGAGCCAGCCATCTTAGTCTCTCTCTTTCTCTTTCTGATACTTCGCCACAACAATGGTAGATTTATAGCTGGCGTTAGGGTCCAGGTTTCCTGCAAAGATACTGTAAAAGCCCAGCTCTGTCCCGACACAGATAAGAACCAAGGACATTTAAAACTGCTCAACCTGCAGATGCGGTAATGAGGCCTTTGGCGAACGCCTGTCCAACCGTAAATTTACCGGACAGAATGATGCTTCTGGGTGACCAGCAAAAGGAAACTGATTCTTCAGAGTTTAGTGAGGGGGAACGCAGTCCTGATGTGTCCCAAATGGCTATATAGGGCACTACTTTTGACCAGAGGCCTATGGGCCCTGGTCAAAAAGTAGTGAACTATAAAGGGAATAGGGTGCCATTTGGGACTCAAGCCCTGGTCATTGCGTTATTATAGGCTGGAGGAGAGTTTTAGTCCCCAGTTAACGACAGGGGTTAGTCAGCTATTTCTTACAATGAGCCAAAACGTGCCTGATCATCACAATTTTTAAATCAGACACTTATTTTATGGCAATGTAATGTTTTATTTCTCTCCTCAGCCTAGCTATCCACTCCACCATTTGTCTGCCGCTGATCTACTTTGCCATTGTGAGGAAGAACCCATACACCTTTACCTTAGGGATGGCCCAGGCAATGGTCACTGCTCTCATGATCTCTTCCAGGTAAGTCTCAGTCAGTATTCAGATCATACAATCTGGTGTGTATAGCAAAGCATAGCTGTAATGGCTGACATATCTATTTATCCATCCATCTATCTATACAATCCATCCATCCATCCATCTATCCATCCATCCTTCATTCAACTTAAATACGACCTCTAGCTCTGCCACCCTGCCGGTCACCTTCCGCTGTGCCGAAGAGAACCTCAGGATCGACAAGAGGATCACCCGCTTCGTGCTGCCTGTGGGCGCCACTATCAACATGGATGGCACGGCTCTCTACGAGGCGGTTGCTGCCATCTTCATTGCCCAGCTCAACGACTACGCTCTGGATGTGGGTCAGATTGTCACCATCAGGTAAGTCACCAACAGCCTACATCGAAATGAGATGTTATATTCTATGTACATAATTTGGGCAAGTTAAAGCGCCTTAGCATACTTGTGATCAGAACCCATAGCCTTTGGTGGCCTTGGACTTCAGCTGCTCTGAATGAGTATGCCACTGAGTGATGTAAGAAAAAACATATTTGAGCTTGACAAAACTGAAAAAACTCAACTGTAATCAGTTGAAACCTGCTGTCACATTAATTTATAACATCTGTCATGGCATTATGTTAGTATCATGTATCTGACCTAATAATATGTCAGGTTAAGGGAATTGTAAAGATGTTAACTTACTGTTTCCTCCCATTTCAGTATAACAGCAACTGTAGCCAGCATCGGAGCTGCCGGTGTACCTAACGCTGGCCTTGTTACCATGGTGATTGTGCTGACTGCCGTTGGACTACCAGCAAATGATGTCACTTTAATTGTTGCTGTGGATTGGCTACTGTGAGTAATACCTTGTTGAGCGTAATATTGTCAAGATAAGTTATTGTTTTTGTGATGAATACAATAGTGCGACGTGACAAAGGTAGACTCAGCAATATAACTTCACCATACGCAGCGGTGCGACTTTAGAGAAAACAACAGAATTTCAATTTGTCAAGACTGCCACTACTTTCTCTTCCCAATTTGTGCCATCCCTTGAGCAATGCCCAAGAGGGGCAGTCTTGGCAGAATACATTTTGTTGTTGTTTATGTCTGTAAGCAGGGAGTTGCCCAGCAATGTATGATGCTGTCATATTGCAAAGTCTACAGTATCTTTAACTTACTCATAATCAACAGACAATGGTCACTCACCATACCCCCTCCGGCTGTTTCAGAGACCGCTTCCGCACCATGATCAATGTGCTGGGGGATGCCTACGGAGCTGGCATCGTCCAGAAGCTGTCCAGGCGGGAGCTGGAGAGGATGGACGTCACCTCGGATGTGGACGTGACCAACCCCTTCGTCCTGGAGACCACGCTGGACGACGAGGAGTGCGAGAAAAAGTCCTATGTCAATGGCGGCTTCACCATCGACAAGACCGACGCCATCTCCTTCACCGAGACTTCCCAGTTTTAGGAGGAAAGGAAGGAGGGCGGGGAGCAAAGAAGTGCCATTGCTGCTAGATGTTAGCCTGGTTCTAGATCCGTTTGTGCTGTTTTGCCAACTCCTATGGTCATTGGCGTGACAATTACTATTGGAGTTTGCAAGACAACACAAACAGACCTGGTACCAGGCTAGTCTGTTTGTGATTTAGCCAACTCCTCTCTATGTTCGTTCATTGCCATGTATACAGTGTAGTACTGCTTGACAAGGATAGAAGAGTTGGCTATAGCCAGTGGTGAAAGTAGATGTAATTTCTTCCCGGTACGGGACCTCCTATGTGTGCATGCGCTTAATCATAAAATTGCATATAGAATCCCTATTAATTCAATAGGATCTCTGTGGGCTTAGTCTTAAAAATTTGTATATATATATTTTTATGTATTACCTTTTCTTGTGGCATAAACACAACCAATCTGACTGTCCAACAATCACATCAAAAGGGCTCCTTTAGCCTACCCGTGCATGTTCTTCTACTCAAAATATATTTCCAGCCTCCAAACGGTGGTGAATGGTCTGTTACACAAAACACCACAAAGTGTAATGACATTTTAGCGATTGTCATTAGACCAGAATTTATGCACCCAATGCTGTCCGTTAGCGTCTCGGTGTCGGCCACTCATCTCTGCCTTGGCAAAATGTCAGTGTTTTCATCGAACCAACGCATTTTGGAGCATAGGCTATACCACCCGTTCAAGTCCATTCGCTCATTTTCAATGCCTCTGACATGCGGTAGCCTAATGATAAATAATGGTGTAATGGTTCTTGACATTTTGTTTTAAATATTGTGATTGTCTCATGTTTTACCAGTATGGCATACCCCCCCTATTTTCCCGGGACGCCATACCGGACCGTCTTACTTTCACCCCTGGCTATAGCACATACAGTATGCGAGCAGACTTGGTAGAAATGTGAGGGGGGTTCGAAGCCATTCATAAAACCAGTGCTTGTAAAAGGGAGAAAAAACATGACATCTGACACTTTCAAGCTCGAACATTAGCAACATTAGCCACCATGTGTTTTCTCTCGATGCTCTTTCCAACACTCTTTCCAGCCTGCTTTTTAACCACGAGCGGAAATCCACAGCAGCCCTTAAAATGAGCTGGTCTATGTCTGGGCTATGTCTGGGTTATGTCTGGGCTATGTCTGGGTTATGTCTGGGTTATGTCTGGGCTATGTCACCCTATTCTCTAAATAAGCCCTGGTCAAAAGTGGTGCACTATGCAGGGAATAAGTTGCCCTTTCGGACGGACCCATGCTCTCCTTTACTAAAAGCGCTTCCATCGTTATGTTGACATAATGAAAACAGTCACTTTTGAATGAATCAATACTTTTGTTATTGTTTTTACATAAAGGGAACTAGGATATGGGGACTACAAGAGGAGTCAGAGCTTTTGAAATGCATACCTCCACCGTGTGTGTGCAGGTATGTGTTCTGGAGGTCTATTGTCTGTCTGTCTTTGTGTCTTTGAGAAAACTTAAATAATATATCGCCGGGCTGAGCTGTGTAAATGTATTGCAAAAAAGAGCATGGAAGAAGAAATACAACTATATTCCAGACGTTCAATATACTGTGTATTGCAAAGATTCAAACAGACTTTCAAAAACTACAGTGTTCCGCTTTGTTTGCCCTTCAGAAGATGACTACTCTTTACAAATGTCTTAATTTTTGTCAAAATTCTTGTCAATTTTGTGTGTAAAGTTAATGTTATTAAGCTTCCTGTGTCCAACTGTAGATTTACAATATGTGCCAAACATCATATTAATTAATTCATTAACTTTGTATGATTCCATGTCCATTCTTTCATTGCATGAAGCAATACGGCAAAGAAATACAGTGAAACTTGTAATGAACATAGACTTGCTATACAGTATGTATTTTTCAAGTGACCAATGGCCTTTAGTAAGACAATAGAGTTGATGGCACAATAACGAGGTTTTGGAGTTATGACTTAATTGAATAATGTTAAATATTTGAAAATATTTTCATAATGAATTGCTAAAGAGTTAACGCTTAACCCTTGTTAAGGGGTGCTATATGGATGACTTATGGATGACTTAAGGATTTAAGGATGGTCTTAGCGTACACTGTTAGAAAGCCTTTGTCACTAACTATAAAATCTTCATGTTTGTTTGACAGAGAAACAATAAAAAATAGTGGGGCCTCTGAGGCAATGTTTCAGAAGACCCAGCTGTAGAATCCAGGTATTCAATTGAATGCAGTTGGTACAATTCCAACTTTAACCATGAAACCTTAGTTAAATTAGATTTAAAAAACCTCCGAGAATTATGAGCTCCAAACAGCTCATAAAAAGGCATTATGTAATCACTTTGTGTGGTCCAACAAATGAATTACTTTACGTAGCCTTACTTTAGCGATATGACCCTTCCTGAGCCTTCACGTCAGTTGCAATGAACATCATCAAGGTGTTTACTCATTTTATTTATTATAATAATCTCCATCTCAATTTATTTCCGTTTTTCATCCCTTGAGGCATGGGATTATTGAAACTGCCACTCAATGTTACAGCTCATTGCAATCCACCCACTATGACTTGTTTTTCTTCTACAACAGTGGCATAAGGGCCTAATTTGAGGTAGTAGACAACTTTATTATATAAAATCTCTGAAGCTGGCAAGATATTGGGTATTGGAAAGCAAATTGAGGGCAATTTATGTAACATCAGATGTGACTAAAATAAAGCTTGTGAATCAGGTTCTGTACATTTCAAAAGCACATTATGATGATATCAACAACAATCAATCAATGGCTATAGTGTGTACCATCCACAAATCACCTCAGTACATGAATCAACATGTACTGGATGTATCTAACTGCAAGCTAATAAAGACAAACATAACTTGGGCGTTTCTCTTTTGGAGTGGTTTCAAAAATGGTTGAGAATGGAGTATTACAAAGATATGGACATTACTTCTTTCATTTACTCATTTTTTTCTGTCCAGCATGTGATTATTGGATGTGCATATTTCTCATTTTTCCACTGAGAATGGATTCTGTACACCCCCTTTTTTTTTTTTTATCTATGAGCAGTGCTTGATTTGGGCAGGAGCTCACCAGAGCTGAGTATCGGCACCTTACATTTTCTGCTGCTTGAGCTCCTGTTCCTCTTATAGACTATTATCTCAAAAGTATTGTGGAACTCTTGCACCCAAATATAAACAGTACCAGCACCCAACATGAGTACCGGCACCTATTTCAGTCCAAGTCAAGCACTGTCTATGAGAATGCCTTATCACAGGGGTTCCCAAACTTTTTTGCTCCGTGACCCAACATACACAGACCAAAGAATAAGTCAAACATCTTGGCAGGGGACAGAACATTTAGCAGTTTTCAAGGTAGACAGCAAATGACGTTGCCACGAGCAGCACCGCAGATATTGAGATGAGCGTGATGCAAGACTTAGCTCTCACACAGTCACTCACACACAGTATGCACATGTCCACGGGTTCGCTTCACGTTGTTCACAGCATGGTAGCCAGGGGACCAAAAGGTAGCCAAGGGACCAAAACAGTGCAGAAGTTGAGCCTTACCCTTCAACGCTCTTAGTTGTTGCGGAAATTGACCAACTATGCTGTTTACTTTCGGCATCTACGTCATATTGCTGAGTCTACCTTCAAAGCATATTTCCTGCAATTCTACACATTTTGCCATGGAGCTGAAATAAATGTTTTCAGTTTTAAAGCCAACTTCCTGCAATTGTATACATTTTGCCATTGAGCTGAGAGTACATTTAGCAGTTTTTAAGCTAATTTCCAGCTATTCTACGCATTTTGACATGGCTAATGATGTGTTGGGTAGGTTACTTTCTAAATGTAATCCGTTAAAGTTACTAGTTACCTGTGCAAAATTGTAATCAGTAACGTAACTTTTGGATTACCCAAACTCAGTAACGTAATCTGATCACTTTGTTACTTTTAGATTACGTTCCCCTTAAGAGTCATTAGAAGACAAACAGCATCCATCAAACACATTTGGTGTGTCATCAAAGTGGTCTCTGACTTGTGTTCAGACTCGCTCAGGTGGAACAAACAAACTTGCACCTTTTTTCAATGCTGAATTGAATGTCGTTGAGAACACAGAAAGGTGTCATACACTCTGTTTGGCAAACATCCTTTCTGAATTTAAAAGTAATATGTCGTTTTTAAAAAGTATCTGTAATCTGATTACAATATTTTTGCTGGTAACGTAACTGACTACAGTTAACGTTTTTTTGTAATCAGTTCATCCCCAACCCAGGTTCTTATGCTCAGACATTATAGAAAAATTAATGGGGGCCTGATTGTCTAGCTTTTATTTTGTTGATTGTTATAGGCTAGGTTCCACCTTCAGATTTTATCAATGGAATTAAATGCCTTTGTTCTCTCTCTTTTTCTGTATCCCATCCATGGAGGAAGGTTGTATGATCAACTCTACTTTCCTAGGCTTCTGGGCCTCTGGCCTAGTAGGCATGTCTTTGTTCATGCTTTGTCTTGTAAATTAACCTTAGGATCTACATGCTTGGAATAATGCCTTGTAATGCTTGTTAATGCTTTGTAACTTCATCTTTATGCCTTGTATGTGAATCCATTCATGTAACTAAGAAATTAAATACACTTTCAATTCCATTTCTGAGACATTTCTTGATTGCCTATTACTGTAACTCAACTGCATATTGCTATTTATCTTATGGAGTCAGATAATTTCTTTAATGGGCTAATTGCTTAGTCTTATTACGAGTCACATGTGAGGTAAATATAATATACATATATCAAATGTATCACCTCAACAGCTATAGAGCTTGCCAGCTTGTACAGTGGCTTGCAAAAGTATTCACCCCCCTTGGCATTTTTCCTATTTTGTTGCCTTACAACCTGGAATTAAAATATATTTTTTTTGGGGGGGGGGGGTTGTATCATTTGATTTACACAACATGCCTACTACATTGAAGATGCAAAATGTTTTTTCTTGTGAAACAAACAA